GTGTGGTGATCAGTCACAACTTTAAATGGGCGCCCATAGAGATAAGGCCTGGACTTTGCAATCGCCCTTATTACCGCGAGACATTCCTTTTCTGACGTTGAATAGTTGGTCTAGGCACGTGACAGAGTGCGGCTCACGTAGGCAATGACACGTTCGGTTCGATCTTGTGTTTGCACCAAGATAGCTCCGAGACCAATGTTGCTTGCGTCAGTGCACACCTCTGTGTCAGCGTCCTCATCGAAATGACCAAGTACAGGAGGGGAAGACGATCGATGTTGATTTCCGCAAAGGCAGGGGCTTGTTCGTCAGTCCACAGAAATGGGGTGTCGTCACGCGTAAATCTGATGAGAGGCTCCGCAATTTTAGAGAAGTTTTCAATAAAGCAGCGATAGTATGCGCAGAGCCCCAGAAAACGTGGAAGACTTTCCTTGTCTGTCGGACCTGGAAAAGCGGTCACAGCAGTAGTCTTCTCGAGATCGGGCAGGGCGCCTGCAGCACTCATAACGTGACCCAGGAACTTCAGTTCTTTGCAGCCAAAATGGCACTTCTCAGGCTTGAGGGTAAGGTCAGCGGGTAGTATAGATTCAATAACACTCTGAGGACGACGAAGGTGCTCATCAAACGTTTTCGAAAAGACAACGACATCATCTAGGTAGACTAGGCAACTTTTCCACTTGAGGTCAGCGAGAACAGTATCCATCATTCGTTGGAATGTGACCGGAGTGGAACAGAGGCCGAATGGGAGCACTCGGAATTCATACAGACCGTCAGGAGTTACAAAAGCCGTTTTTTCACGGTCGCGTTCATTGACTTCAATTTGCCAGTAACCCCTTTTGAGGTCGATTGAGGAAAAGTACTTTGCTCGCCTCCACCTGTCGAGAAAATCGTCCACTCGAGGCAACGGGCACACGTCTTTCTTTGTGACGTTATTCAGCTTCCTATAATCGACACAAACGCGAAGTGTGCCATCCTTCTTCTTTACAAGGACCCCTGGCGATGACCATTGGCTGCTTTATGGCTGTATTACACCGTCTTGAAGCATTTCCTTCACTTGATATTGAATAGCGTGCCGTTCGGTTGGTGAAACGCGGTAAGGCTGTTTTCATATAGGGTGCGCGTCGCCTTAGGTGATAATATGGTGTTTGGTAATCGTTGTATGACGGATTCTCGATGAACGTGCAAAACAAGCGTGGAATTATATCAACAGGTCGTTAAGCCTTTGTTTGTTTTCGTGAGAAAGCATTGGGTTTATGTCCACGCCCTGGAGAGGTGCTTCGGCATTATCGGTTGCCTCGGAAGCAAAACACTCAGTCACACTGGTTACTAGGTAGGCATAGGCGATGACAATACCAGGGAAAAGGTGTTGGCACTCGCAGGTAAAGTTTGTAACAGGAACCTCGCACTGGCCCACCTGGAGGTCTACTAGGCTTCGTGCTACGCAGACACCTTGGGAAAAGAGTAGGGATCGATTGCTTTCCGCCACCATTTCAACGTGTGCTCATTTGTTACACGCCACTTGAACCATAACACTTGAGCGCAGTGGTATCGTCGCAGCATCGTCAATTACACGTGGACATACTCGATCGTGGCTAGGATTATGCTCTGGGGTGGGGCTTTTTGTTGAAAACGTGAGGAGGCGTTGTCGAAGGTTGATGATAGCACCGTGCCCCCTCAGAAAATTCATGCAAATGATCAGGTCTCGAGAACACTGACGGAGAACGCTTCAGCTGACAACAAAGGTAGAACCACGAATCTGTATTCGGGCTGTGCAAACGCCGAGTGGCGTGACGATGTGCCCGTCAGCAGTACGAATCGGCCTGAGGTTCCAAGGTATCAGTTTCTTCAGAAGAGCAGCCTGTTTTTCACTTATTATAGAAAAATCCGCACCCGTGTCAACTAAAGCACTGATTTTGCAACCGTCGAGCAGCACTGGAATGTCTAATAAAATCTTTGCGGAACCAGCTGGTGTCGTCGTCGTCGGCAAATCGTCATTTTGCGGAAGCGTCGGTAGGAAGCCTTGAGTCTGTCCAGTATTAGCAGCCTCGCCCCCGAAGGTCGCTGTGGTTGGTTTTCCCGGCGTGGACTGGGTGACCAAACCTGCGCCACGCTCGAATAGGTACGGCGATTAGGAGAATATCACCGCGGTGGCGGGGAGCGTGACTGGTGCAAGTATGACGAAGTTCCGCGCTGCTGAGCCACATACTCTTCAATTTCAGGGGGCCGCTTACCAAACCTGGGTGGGGGTGAGTTCGTCGAAAATCAGCGTAGTCCATGTTGACGGTAAGAACACTGTCGGTACAGATGCCCAGCTTCGCCGCAGTGGAAGCAGAGAGGACGTCGATCTGGCGCACGCCAGACGTCTGATTTCTGCGAGATCAGGCGAGGTGCGCTGTAATATGGCGCTGCTTGGACCATCTGCAGCATGGCTGGGGCCACGGTGGGATGCGGGATTGCAAGTGTAATAGGTCGCCGCATAGCTTGAGCATACGACATCGGGGGAAGTCCTAGGGTTGTCGATAATCCCGCATCAAAGGCGGTCCTCTTAGGGCATGCTGGACTTCATCTCGGACAATGCTGGACAACGAAGAGATAGTAGGATGCGAGGGCACTGATGGTTTCTAGAGTCCTTCGCAGATGACTGAACGTATGAGCTCTCGGAAGAAATTCACTTGGCCACCGAAAGCTTCCAAGTAGGCCGTAGTTGAAGCGTTGACGTGCCATTCGTATGACGGGGCCCGGTGCCTAAGAGTGCTTTCCATGGTGGCGGCTTTTGTGGGAAACTCTGACAGAGTCTTGGTTGCACTGCACACAAGTCCATCAAAAAGCTCCTCTTTCACCCCGCGCATGACGTACCATACCTTCTTTTCTTCTGGCATGCCGGGGTGAGCTCCGTTGAAAAGACGTGTCATGTCCTCGACATACATCGCAACCCCTTCGTTTGGCATTTGTATGCGAGACTGCAGGTCACGCTCAGCTCTCTCCCGACGGTCAGGGCGGGCATATGTCCCCCAAAAAGTCGGCGTTTGAAGTCTTCCAATGATGAATAATACCTGCGTGGTTCTCAAACCACACACGTGCGCCGTCCAAAAGACTGAAATAGACGTGCCTCAGTTTGTCTGCGTTGTCCCGCTTGTTGTGCACGGCAACGAACTCGTAATGAACAAGCCAATCTTCTACATTCTCAAGTGCAGTGCCATAAAAAGGATTCGGCGTTCACGGTGTGAGTAAGGTGCAATGAGGCGGCGTTGTGCCGTTCGTACGGGTTGGGTTGGTGTCGGTAGGGCCAGCCGGAGCTGCCATGTTGTTTGCGAGCAGTCCAAACTCAGGGGATTGCCCTCGGATTCTTCTGCTGGCGCGGTGCCCAGGAGTGACCACCGGTATGATGCTTGAGTTCTTGCTATGTGGAAGGGTACGGTGCATGGATCACCCAGCACGTCCACCAGTTTGTCACGCACCAAGAGCCGTAGAGATAAGTCAGGAACAGCCTGGCAGAAAGACACGAGCGTGTCTTGTCTTGTCTTGTCGCCTAGGAGATCTTGGCTCATACCCACGAGCGTGTACATTCAAAGCGAAGCGCTATCACACACTTCTTCTTCGTTCTCTTTGCCCTTTTCGGCTGGCTAGGGCTTGCCGGTTCATATGTCTAAGTGGCAATACAATGTGTCAATAGCCTGTGACACATGCCCGCATACTAGCGGCACATACCCGCCTGTGCTCACGCGCCACTGTGGGGCCGGAAGTGTTTGACGATGTACGTGACAGACATTCTGACATTCTTCATGTCTTGACCAACACGTAATATTCGTCAAGCAATCTTACTCTACCATGCTAACTGGTTCACGCCACGTTAAGGGGGTAACCACGAGAATACCGAAACGTGAGCGGATAGATAGATAGATAGATAGATAGATAGATAGATAGATAGATAGATAGATAGACAGACAGACAGACAGACAGACAGACAGACAGACAGACAGACAGACAGACAGACAGACAGACAGACAGACAGATAGATAGATAGATAGATAGATAGATAGATAGATAGATAGATAGATAGATAGATAGATAGATAGATAGATAGATAGATAGATAGATAGATAGATACGCCCAAAGTCGCTTAAGTCTGCTAAGAAGTGCTTTACATTTAAAGTGATTAGGATGCATGCTGTAGCAGAGTTGACTCCGTATATATTGACCATCCGATGTAGTTTTACAGCGAAAGCTGTTATGAAATCACAACTCGGGCCTCGCGTAGTGCCCTAGCTATCCAGCGCCGCCACCGGTGTCCGTAACCACATCGCACGAAATAAAAAAACTTAGCACCAATGACACAGGGGGGCTCCAACCCGGGTCCGCTGGGTACCAGCCCAGTATTCTTCCAATGAGCAACGTCGGTGCTTAGGCTTTGTTGCTGAACTTGGCTTAAGCAGGCTTGAGGTAGGGAAAGCAATAGTTTAATTACGACTTATAAAGCGTTTTGAAACAGCGAAAATACAAGCAGTCGTCGCACAATGTGAATAGCGTAACGAGTGGGTTGTCCGATGATCCAACCCTTTGCAAAAGCTTGTTCTTGCTCACCTGTTAACTGCAGCACATACCCACTTCAGGCATAATTCCTCATTGTTGTCCGCCACTGCATGAACAATTGACACTAAATTATTTGCAAGTGTGTAGTAGATACCACGCTTCTCAGAATTAGCTATGCGAATGCCGCCAAAATGCCGCCAAAATTAGCATAGCGAATGCCGGCATAATACACAAACATTTTTATTATTTATACCGCAGTGGGTAACAAGCGAGTGTACTTGAAGCAGTTACCTAATGCGTGTTCAGAAAAGGCTCTAAAAGGCCGCTATTGTAGCTGTCGCTGTGACTGTGCTGCTTCTTTAGTGCAGGCCTTTGTTTGTGTGTGTGTGTGTGTGTGTCCACTTGTTTCTTTTTATATATGCCGAGTCATACTTACTGTTCTCCTAAACCACAAAATATCATTGCAGAAGACATACACTGCAAAACTTCTTTTATTTCGAGCAGTTGTAGAGCTTGTTCACGCGAATGACGTCGGCGGCGCTCAATCCGGGCTTGTCGTAGACCTCTGTCAAGTGACTGCCGTCCTTGGCCAGCATGGTGAGGAGTCCTGGCGCCCTGGCGAACGCGTGCGAGCCGTACAGCATGACGGACTCCATGTCGAATGGCGTCAGCAGTCGGTTCTGCCAGGACTTCAACTTCTCGAACTGGGTCACAGCATCTGCATACGGGACAAGGCCGAAACCGAAGCGTAAGCGTCGTAATTATACTAGCAGCACAGATTAAGTGGCATCTGTCAATTGTCAATTCTAATGGCATGGCGAAACCTTGATGACCCTCCATCAGCTCAGTCAAAACACTCCAAGTGTGTGCGCATGCTTGTTTGGACACTGTGAAACTCAAAAGACGTTTTATAATCCCCTTGGGGAGTCAGGTGGTTCTGGCCTAATGCATACAGCATGCGTCTTCGCTACAGAAACCGAAGTTTCAATCCGGCCTTTCAATTATACTTATCGTGATAGAAATTATGATGATACTCTTCACAGGTTTTCGCTATAATTGTGATGTCCCATAGAAAGCCTACAATACTAATGCCTTTCCACGCACCACATGTTCTACCCGCTAGTAAAAGTGCGCAAGTGGGAGCGGTGAACGCTGCTGAAACAGAGATACCACCAATTCGCGTGCGATGCCTACCGCCGATTGCTTATTCAAGCATAGAGGAAAGGCTATGTCTATCTCGAAGGAGCTTGAAGGGACGTCGATGTAACAGCTGCGAACTTCGATCATACGAGCTAGGTCGCAATCGCTGCCTTCGCGCTATCTAAGCAGGCATCGACACTGGTATCGTGTTTCTTCCTACGTGCGTACTCTCAACGCGAAGAGATGGCATGAAAACCATGGCTCTCCCTAAAGGTGCCGCATTTCCTTACACCAGCGTTTTGTAGGGTATCAGCTTCCGTTTCAGTTAATTATTCATTCGAGGTACAAAGGTTCGTGGTATGCAGTTGCGCGAAATGAATTATAAGGGAGTTACCTACAATCATAGTTTAAAGTCTTGTTGAAGCAGACCAAGCAACACAAGGACAGAAGAAGCTGAAAAGGACCGTCCTTGTCCGCCTCTTCTGTCCGCCTGTTTTTGCAGCGCTCCAACAAAACTTCCAGTTATTAACGTAATCCAACTGGCCGAACTTGTCATCTCGTGGAGTTACCTGCTAGCCTTACTTGGTGTTTAACTACAATTTGTGTAGTTTAACACCAGTTTGTGTAGTTTAACATAGGGCATCTCAATTATCACGCAGCACAATTAAAAAAAACTAGGTATCGTGCTACGCGAACCGAACGTAGTGAATATTGTTTCCAGTGGAGTGTAGTAAGAACTACTACCTTTTCGTTAATGACCACAAATTAATATGTCATAACTATATTGGCAAATCGAACATTGCTCGCCTATTTATCTGAATGTCAATGATGCAGATGTGCGCATGTGGAAAAGACTTCTGTCTGTGCTACTTATGTGCTACAACGTACTAATTGCGTGCTTCTTTTTCCTTGTTAATAAGGAAAGCCCCCGAAACATGAGAAAAGACACGTGACCACACCCACAGAAGAAAGCTGCGCCCTCACATAGGCTTACTGCAGGAAACCGCGTGGCCTCTTTTCCGTTGCCAGAGACAGATTTCCACACTTTGCAAGCGTACAGGTCAAGCGCCAACATGTGCCGGATTCTTACAGGAGTTCCTTTCGCTTGACTGTGTGCCACTATAATCTCCCATATTTCATGGTCAGCTGTCTTCATTGATAAAGCGGCTGGAACGCTGTTCTGATTACAGCCCGACTGTCTAAGTGCACAGTGGTGCGTTTCATCAGACGAGAAGTCGCAGATAACGCGTATACCCTACTTTTTCTTGCGGCATTTATTACATTGATACTTGGCACCTCAAAATGAGCTTGCTTGGGGGCACTGCCTATATATTCGCACAGCAGTCGAGTCACGTGTTATATCTCATATTTCGTGAGTTTCCTTTACCCGCATGCAAAAAAATGAGCAAGCATTTTGTGCGTTCTTGGACGTAGCACAGACAGACGTCGTTTCAACATGTGGACATCTGCCTCATTGACATTATGATAATTAGGGCCTGTACATTTAGTTGCAAAAGTGGTGATGGCTAACTAATTGTCATCGACGAAAAAATTTGTAGTGGTTACACTATACTGGGAACAATATGCACTAGCTTTTGTCGACGTAATGTTGTAGGTCCGTGTGCTCATATTTGGGCGGCCCCGCCGCGGTGATCTAGTGGCTAATGTACTCGGCTGCTGACGCGCAGGTCGCGCGACCGAATACCGGCTGCGCTGGCTGTATTTCCGATGGAGGCGGAAATGTTGTAGGCCCATGTGCTCAGATTAGGGTGCACGTTAAATCACCCCAAATGGTCAAACTTTTCGGAGCCCTCCACTACGGCGTCTCTCATAATCATAAGGTGGTTTTGGGACGTTAAACCCCACATATCAATCAATCAATCAGATTTGGGTGCACGTTAAAGAACCCCAGGTGGTAAAAATTTCCGGAGCCCTCCACTACGGCGTCTCTCAGAATCAAATGGTAGTTTTGAGACGTTAAACCCTACACGTATTTCTATCTTTGTGGGAGTAACGCCGTTCCTACTTTTTTAAATCGTACTGCGTGATAAGTGAGACGCCCTGTATAGCTCTCTATCTGGCTTCATTCTGAACTGCTTACCGCGTGCAGTGCTATAATGTTTCTCTCAAGTTTCCACGGCACCCAGTCAAACAGTCGATGGCGCTTTCTGACGAAGTTGAAGAAGTGTCGCAGGGCTTATACGGTAAAACCTGCGCACGTACCTTGTTTCGCATTTTCCGTGAAGACGTCGATGTAGATGTCCCTGTCGGAGCGCGAGTGCTCGTGGTAGAAGCCTACGGCGTGCAGAAGCTCGTGCACCATGGTGCCCTTGTAGAGGCAGCCGTAGCCGAGGGATACCGGTTGAGCACGCCGCATACGGCCGATGGCTGAGTAGCACCTGTCAAGAAGTTTCAGATACCAGGCGCAAGCGCCCACCGATTTCTAAATTGCGTCGACGCAAAGACTTTTGAACTCAACCATTCATCCTATAGCACAATACCATGCAGCAGCCAAGCTGGAGGTACTTGCGTGATCAACCACACAGAACTTCGAGGCAAGACAGTCCAGCTGCGCAGGATGACCCCAGCCATGACGTCACCCGTGAAACGCGTGACGTGAACATCAAGGAGAATGCACAGTCAGGGATGAAGCGTCTTACTCTGCTCCACCACTTTGGCTCAGCACTGCTTTGGTTCAACCTACTTTAACCAAAGCTACAGGGCGTAAGAAAGCCCCACACTTGGGCAGTGAAACGTAGTCCCACATACAGGTGCCTTGAAATAGACTAGGTTGACTAAAATTATAGTTTGTTTGGTGTGTCATATGCCACATCATTATGTGATACGTTTATTGTCTGCATTTATTTTGTACGCAGGAAACTATTTTTATCTCTTACCCCAGGTAACTGTGTTTGCGAATGAACATGGCAGCATCCATGCAAAAGCGGTCGCCCGCTTCGATCCGAACTTGCTCTGCTACATGCCCACTGCTCTGACAGCACTAATTAATAGATAAAATCAGTCATAGGATTTTTTCATCGCACTCTGTGACTAGAGCATCAAGCACAGTTTTTCGATATTAGCGAGATATGCTACTTGCTTAGACGCACCTGCTAAGCCTATAACGCGCCGAGGAAGTTTCGGACTGCGTCGTCATACCAACAACGCTGCATCTCCAAATATCGGACATGCAACTTTGCACAGCTCTCCGTTCTGTGCGCCTCGCATCCTTCTTCGGTGAAAACCACACGTGAAAACAAAAAAGAGACAAAAGGAGCGTTGCAGCGGGCGACGCGAAGGAACGCGCCAACAGAGGAGCAAACATACGAGAGCCACGAGCAGCGTCGCAGAGAAACAGCCACAAAGTGAAGTCATCCGCCAGCATGAGAATCTTCCGACCTTCAGCCGAGAAATACAATCACGCTTCTTCAAGTTCCAGGTGTAGTTCCTTGTTTAATAGCTTTACTGCCATGTTAACAAACTAGCCATATTACTCACCATTTTTTGAGCAGACGGCTTAAATACGGTGAGCAGATGACACGACGCCAAAGAATACATGTGGAAAGGCTAAGCGCCCTTCCTATTGGCTGAGGGGCCTGTAGCCCCTACAGTGCTGGGGTGCAATGCAGGATGGCTCAAGCTTCTTGAGCAGCCGAGTTTGCTCCGAGCTCGCTTGCGTTGGCCGTGGCATGAAGACGGTGCGGAGCGCGTGATAGCAGCGTTGATAAAAAAAATGGCAGCATATCCACGGAGTGAATGATGGAGAGTGGGGCGAAAAAAATTGCCCGCAGCTTCCCTCGGGGGAACACTGAGGAGGATGCGGACCATATAATTGGTTAACGGGGTGGTAAAGTGCGACTTACTTGGGTCGAGGGCTAAATTGGTTAACGTGGTTGTGAAATGGGGTGTTAAATTGCGACTTACTTGGGTCGATGGCTAAATTGGTTAACGTGGTTGTAGGAGGGGGTGTTAAATGAGTGAACACGTACACACGTATGCGAAAGGGCGGCGCTGGTCGAAGGGACGTCGATCATTGTGTTTGTGGATTCGTTGGAATTCATTTCACCGCGACCTTGGACGTCGACGCGCCGTACGAACCAACCGACGAGCGGCAACTGAGCGAGCGAGCGCCGACCTTGAGTATATATACAGCACGACGGCGCATGCACTGTCAGCTGTTGAATGTTCTCGAAGCGGTGCGGACGGCGCGGACGGCGCACTACAAGGCGCGAGTATAAGATGCTTCCGCATCTAAAATTTGTCCGTCCATTCGTTCTTGCTTCCGTCCGTGCAAGCGTCCGTCAGTGTGACCGTCCATGCGTCCATCGGCCCGTCCGTGCGTGCGTCTGTTCGTGCGTCCGTCCCTGCGTTCGTCCATGAAGCCGCCCCTGCGTCCGTTCATGCGTCTATCCATGCATCTGTCTATGTGTCCGTTCGTCCATCTATTCAACACTCCAAGTACCACCTTCTCGCATCTTTTCATCATATATTCCCCATATAGAAGCACCGCCATCCAGCGGACATTCCAAGGACTAAACGAGATGTGGCACACGCACACTTTCTTATGGCTTGCGCTTCGGGTCCACTTCCCACCTTTAACCACCTCGAGTTCATGGTATATACTAGTTCGCTGTATTCATGGCACTGCGGCCGAACGCTCGCTAAACCTTTCGAAAACCAAGGAGGTTACGCCCAGCGAGTATGACGTAGCAAACTTTTTCAGTCAGATTGTGCTCAATGTACATGTCAATGGCTGCTAATGGGAAATGAGAGGCGGAGAATTCGGCTTTTACTTTCTTACGGCTTGCGCTTCCTATCTACTTCCCATTTTTAACCACCTCGAGTTCATTCATGGTATATACAAGTTCATTGTATTCATGGCACTGCGGCTCAACTTTCGATAAACTTTTCTAAAGCTAAGGAGGTTACACCCAGCGAGTATAACGTAGCAACTCTTTCTTTTCAGATAGTGCTCAATGTACACGCCAATGGCTGCTAATAGTGATCGCAGCCTGCGCGTTAACTAAAAGCCGAATGCGACTGTCTCTCATTCCCCATTAGCAGCCATTGACATGTACATTGAGCACTATTTTTTTATTGTTCAACAACGCACAGAAGAAGTCTCTCACCGCACCACCTTGGAGGTCAAAATGTTATACTTGTTACATACTACAGGAGACGAACCGGTGCCGCTATAAGGAGTTTCGCCCCTAAAATGGTTACACGAACGCGCGTGGCGTTGGAAACGCATCATTTGCGGCGGTTATCAAAGAAACATCGGGTGCGAGCCCGTCAGCGCCGCCCCTCACTCAACATTTTGGCAGCGCAGCGACGTTTGCGTGATTGCCATGCTGTATTCTTGCCAACCCAACACGCGCCACCCACAGGCGTGTTCGTGGGCGTATGTCCTCTTTCGCACAGGTTTCAAATGCGAAGCATTTCTTAGCGAACTTCGGCGACTTTGAGCATATCTATCTACTTATCTATCTATCTAGCCACCCACGACTTTAGCTCTCCTGGCAGTTTCGATAATGGTATCGCTACCAAACTTGGTATGGCATAACATGACTGTATGAAAAACATATCTGACTAGTCATAGCATGTGAATCATGACATGTATATCATGAATGTCATCATTTGCATTTCATGGTCCTGCAGCTCTTGCGGTGGTTTTGTTCACATGACGTGTTGCAAAAAGAATATGGTATGGCACGACTGCATGGCGAACACAAGCGACAAACCCTAATATGAAATTCATGAAATGCGTGTCTTGTAACAACATGCATCTATATGCCATGCTCATGATGCACTCGCGGCCGTTTTGATACCGTCACATATACCAAATTTGGTGTCACAGTACGTGAATGGATGACGAACGTATGTGACTGGTGCTGACATGATAATCACGAGATTCGTGTCATGTTACAACATGACTACATGCCACACTCATGATGCGCTGGCAGCCGTTTTGCTAGCTTCACCTATACCAAATTTGGTATTACGGAACGTGAATGGATGACGAAGGTATGATACTGGTACAAACATGATAAACATGAGATGCGTGTCATGTTACAATATGTACCAAACTCGGTATTACGCGGCCCGAACGGACGACATAGGTAAAATATGACACATCCAAACATTATAATCACGACATGCGTGTCATGTAACAACATGACTACATTCCCCACTGATAATGCGCTCGCGGCCGTTTCACCAGCTTCACATATGCCAAATTTAGTATTACGTGACGCCAATTGATAACGAAGGTGTAACTGCTGCAAACATGATAATCATGAGATGCTTGTCATGTGAGAATATGACTACATTCCACAGTGAAAACGCCAATACATTTCCAAATGACGCGGTGCGCGTGCTCACCGGCGTTCATTTCGTCGTGTCACAGCAGCGTTGCCACGAGAGGCGCCGGTCCTGCCTTATACTTGCAGGCGCGCACCGCGCTGCGTTGTTTTGACGCATGCGCGTTTCAGCACGTCCGGCGACCTTCCGGGGGGGGGGGGGGGAGGCGCTGCGAGCACTCGATGGTGACGGACGCACTCCACATCGCCTCCCTAGATTTCCTGCTATTTCTGCGGAGATCCACCTTGGTACCCCTGAAACTTGGATTTATCGTCACCGCCAAGTTCTCCGCTTCGCCTAGACAACACCTTCGTCCAGGTGGGTCCAGTTTTGACAACTTGAGGGACGTCCTTCACTCCCGGCTACAATGCCGCCTCGCTAAGGGCTCTCAGCCCGGCGATGGCGGCCGCTAACGTGGTTACGGGCTATGATCCTACCTCAAGCCAAATGCTGTCCATGGAGATTTCATCCTCTGTAAACACTATGCCATCAGAAGATGAATACCTCGGCGACATGGTGACACTGTGGCAACGCAAGCAAGCGAAATCGAAGTCTGCGTCTCAACAACAACGAGACGCCACAGCGGGCCACCATTCCCCAGCCTTGCAAGGAACGCCGGCGCGCCATCCCTCCGGTGGTGTGCCTACCTCTGCTCCGTCCTCGCAGCCAGCAAAGCAACGCAAGTGGCGTCCGTGTCAAACTCCTCGCCTCTCTCGCGACGACTACATCGTAGTAGTGAAACCTCGCGTTCCCTGCGAGCTACGCACATTCGTCCCCGCCGATCACGCAGGCGACGCCATCCGCAGCTACCTCGGCGACCAGACTACCACGTAAATTCAAGTGTGGCCGATCTGGGAACACAACATCTTGGTCTGTAGCACCGCCATTTTGCCTATGGCACAGCGACTCCTTGGGGACTTCCAGCTGCAAGTGGGGGATCAGCAGCTGCCTGTTCGGGGTCACGCCAAGGCACCAGGGGATACATGCAAGGGCGTCATCAACATAAACTCTGCTGAAAGCCCGGAGAAGATAAAGTCAG